TCTCGTGATGCCAGAGAGCATGACGTGATGTGCATATCTTCTGGAAAGTATTTTTTTAGATTATGTGGCCGTCATTTGACAAGAACAAAATAGGTGGATTATATTTAATTGGGATTGGGATTATGTCATTGGGTTCTCCCTGCTTCCATTTGGAAAATATGAATTACCTGATGATTGCAACTCACTAGGATCCTAAGGACTCTGATGATGAAAAGCCGGACGAATTTCAAACAAGAAATGGATGGGGTTCTCTGTTCATGAGTGATCCTCAAGTTCTTTCTATGTACTCGAGTGATCCACAAAACCCCCCTCGTTATTTTGGCCGGCAAAATTGTGAGACGCTCAGCAGACAGAAGTTTCTTTCACTGTACCACCATTGGCAACAGCTGCTAGATGGCAAGAAGACATACCTCCGTCCTCCAAAGAACAACCGTGTTGCCAAGGACAATTATGACGGCAGCGTCTTTGTAACCCCAGAACCTCCTGAGTTGGCACTACATTGTCTGGTATAAATATTGTAGCCTCATAAGCTACTTAACTGAATTTACTTGCTTATTCCTTAGTCATGAATTGTTTCTCCTTCATAGTAGTCATGAATAGTTTCTCCCTTATAGGGAAGTTGCTTTATTTTTGGGTGCTCAATGAAATGGTCTGACATCTGTAATTTCGTACCATCTTCAATTATCACTGAGTATTTATACCATTGTAAAATTTTCTCCATTGAACACCTGTGATGCTCTGATCATACCGACATACCCTGTCCATTGTGTTTCTAGATAAAGCTTTGCTCTTTAATGACAATAACATATGTGATGATGATATACACTAAACTTTCTTTGAACTGTTCGAAGATTGATGTATTTTGAAACTGATAGATAATGTCTGGGCTTTGTTAGCTTATATCATAGAGAATCAACATGGATAGTTACCCATTCCTTGAGTGTGTCCTAAGTCTTTTTGGCATAAATAGTCCAATTATGATTTCTTAAATACATGAAGAATAAGGCCGAAGCGTCTCTTGATGTCCTGGATGTTTCTGTCCCATGATCTAAAAGAAAGTTACCCAAAAAACAGCTTTAGTCTTTCCCCCTAAAACAATTCTTATTTTCATGTCCTGGAAAAATTGTAACTTAAATATTGCCATCAATAGATACAATGCGCCGTGCAGTAAACAGAAGTGTTGTACAGTAAAAGTATCACGGGTGTCAACCATAAATTCAGTGTGTTTAAAACGATGTTGAAAGCTTGGCTAGTTAGCTACTAGAGATCTTACAGATTCATGATTTTGCTGCAAGCAATAGCTAGCTAGCCTTTATGTGCAAAGGCATTTTGTCATATGGTTCTCAAGCATTTCCTGTAAAAAGAAGTGAACTCTTGTGCTCCAAGCATTTCCTCAGCATAACTTATCTGGGTAATTCTAAGTTTTGTAATCTTCTGAATTAACTATTATGCATAGTGTGATGCTAACTTTTACAATTGTAGGGGGCACTGTCGTATTTGGTTGGTGCAGCTGCTGGAATACCTACCATTCAGCAGCAGTACAAAGGTTTTTGTACACTGTAAATTTGACTCTAGAAGCACTGCCATTATTAAGAGCTTTGTGCATACCTGAAAATCATTATTTGTGCAGATACTTAGTGAACATTATGTGTGCTTCAGACCAATGCGAAGCGATGGGTCACAGTTTTACAGAGCTTTCCTTTTCTCTTACTTGGAAAAACGCCATTAATCCTGTAATAAATACCATTAATCTTTTACAAATCATTTTATTTATTACATTCTCTGAGAAGGGCATTCTTTCTGATATTTATTACATCCTCACCCAAAATGATCTTTTCATGGCCTATGTTGGGCTTATTTTCTGTCAATCAACATACGAAGTAGCAATTTTTTTTAAGATTGTAATTCTTGTAATTTCAGCAACATATAGAATTAGGCTGTTTTTGCAGCTGCGCTTATTCAATCTTTGTGTGGTTCTTTGAAAGTCCAGTGCACTGTAGTGCCTGTGTTGACACTTCACCTTTTTTTGTTGGGGTTCGGAAATGGTGTCATATGTTTAGGTACCTCATTGGATCACAGCAGGCAAGTTTGTTTGAGCACAGGTTTCTGCCTATCAGTAGTATTCTAAGAAAGCTAGTAATCCTATACCATTTGGCACTGTCATGTAAACTTCTTCAGTCATACAAGTCTGTACAGAAAGTTGATTATGACCAACCTTTTTAATTAGATGCTAAATGGATATAAGGACATTTGTACATCAGGAATGCATATAGTTGGTGCTATTTATTTAGTTCGACTGCAACACTCCATCTTTGGTTGGTTGATTTTTTTGAAGGTCCAATAAACTGCAGCAATGTGCTAATATCTACTTTTATATCCAATATTCTAGCTTTGGGATCTGGAAGTATCTATTGCCATTCTTCCATTTAGATTATGTGTAGACAACACATTATCTAATGCATTATCTTTTCAACCAAGTTTGCTGAGAACTCCATTCGTCCATTTAGATTATGTGTCTGTTGCCCTCCTCATCACCACCTCACCATAGCCACAGGGTCAGCCTGAACTTGTGGATCAGCATGGAAGTGGAGGGCCAAAAGGAAGGTTGGCTTGCAGATCATACTTGGTAACCAATTCCTGCAGCGCTGTGCATTGGGGGCATCATATTTCTTTCCCCTGTCAGCCTGTACGTACTGAATGCTCAAACTAGTGTTCTGGATTCTTCTCTTTATCAGTATATGGATCCACCACTGTCTTTACTTGAGATGTCTGCAGACTGTCTTTGTTTTGCATGAGTACTGATTTGCAGAAAGCATATTCATCTCTCCTACTTACACTGGACTTTTCTTGAGTGTATTCAGCATATACAGAACTAGTGTTTTACCAGTGTTCTAGTGAGTTTTGCTGAGCTGTGGGCAGGTACCTGCCTCTTTGCTTCATTTATTTGTGCTCAACTGAAACCAGGGGTACAATTGTCTTTTCAGATGGCTAAAACATATAGAAGGAATTCAAATGGATGAGATAGCAAGGAAATCAAGGATACAATGTTGAGAGTGACAATAATGCGAGGTTCATGTTGGGACTTGGGAGTGTCAATTTTGCGAAGGCTGTTGGTAGGGGCATATTTAAAATCTTTATAGTATGTGTTATGTAATACACGACTTTGTATACTACTGAAAGTTTGAAAGTAGTGTATGAATGGTTAATGTTCAATGCTAAATTCTGAGTGTGATGCACATATGTAGTACACGATAAAATGTTACTTGTGTGATGCTTTGCTAGAATATGCTTGCTTGATGTGATGAGAACTAAGATAGAAGTTTAAATTCCTTTGGCTCTAATATCTTGTTCTAAGTATTTCAAGTGGTATCTATAGGATGGTGGGTACTAAGGATGTTTTACACTATATGCGCGCTTCAAAGACATGTCTGCATACCATGTCTGATTTACTAGTAAAAGCTCTCCCAACCCATATCCATACATATGTGCAAGAGTTATACCCAAAACCTTTAGCACATATATAGGGAGAGTGGGAGAGTCTACAAGTTTAGTTTTGAAGCACTTATCCTCTCTAATTCATGTGTCTCATGCTATGGATAAGTGCTACAAAACTCATGTTCATGTCCACAATATACCTTGTGTATGGAATTGGCTTGAAACCCATATTCTTTTAACTCCTTGGTATATGTTGTCACCAATTACCCAAAAAAGCGAGAGATCAAAAGCATCTAGGCCCCTATTTGGATCTTATTAATTGAATGCCAACATTAGTTTTGAAGACTTTTTTTATTTGAAATCATTTGGGACTTAGAAATGCAGGTTTACGATTAATGATTTCAAAAACTCATATTTTTTATGTATTTTAGAATTATCTTGGATGAAGAATGATCTAAACCAAAGTTCTAGTACTCGAATATTTAAAAGAAGATACTAGATTCATATTTTTCTAGTTTAACCTATGAGATTAACTTGAACTGAATTGGTTCGATTTAAACCGATGAGAAGGGTGTCTATTACTTGACTTCGTAGTTTAGGGTTGAAATCCGACTGACATGTAATTTAAAAGTTGAAACATATGCTCTATCCATTTAAGAAAGCTCAAGAAAAACTTAATAAAGCCTCAGCCATCTAGTCTAGTCGATAAATATAAACCTTAACAGTTTCTACGTACTTCCCCGTATTTATTATTTTATTTGTTTGGCCCTCGACATTGGACAAAACGTTGAACACGCGTCTTATTAAAAAATACTTTAGATATGTCAAAGTATAAGCCATTCTCAAAGATCATTAATACTTTAAGATAAGCTTGACTTATACTTTAGTTTTACACGTTTCCCTTTTTACTAAAAAAAATTGATGTTTTGGCTCATCATTTTATAAAATGAAACTAAACACCATAGTGAAATTGTACCCAAAAAGTGTTTTGGTATTTTGGATTTGGTAACCTAGAGGCTAAAAAACAGGCAAAATTTTGGGTTGAGAGTGTTGGCATTCTGCATTTTGGATGGAACTAAACACACCCTTAAAAATTGTGGCATTTTGCATTTCATCATTCCAAAAAAGTTGACATTTTGTATTTTGCATTCCATATGAAACTAAATACACTTTTATTTTGTCGAGAATCAATGGCGGGTTGTTTGATCTCACCTCAAGTTTAGTGACTAAACTTTAGTCACTTTACTAGAGACTACAGTTTCAAACAAACTAACTAAAAAATGACTAAAACACTTTAACCCCACTAGTTATCCAAAAGATGCTAAAAAATAACTAAAACATTTTAGTCCATTAAATTTTAGGAAGTGAGATCAAACACCCCTAAATTGGTGGGGAGTGTCTAGCTCATCACCGTTCACCCAAAAGAGAGAGAGAGAGAGAGAGAGAGAGAGAGAAGCGAAACGGCTCTGCCACCGTGGCAAGAAAGCAGAGCGGCTGAGAAAGTTTTGTTAAAAAAAAAAAGGCCCAATTTGTTGCTTCTGCGTCACACCGATTTCGCTGCCGGGATGGCCAGTCCGCGCCCTCCCCTCGGCCGGATCCTCCGCCTCGCCGCCGTCGCTGTCGCGGCCTGCGCCTGCTTCCCTACCCCCGTCTCCGGTATCCGGTGAGATCCGCACCCTCCTTCCTGCCGTTGTCAGGGCCCCGAATCTTTGCCCGTGCTCGTCGCACGCAGTCGATGTAACTCTCAGCAGTTGGAAGTTCCTTGTAGATAAAGGCGAGTAGTTGCACCAGTCAGGATCCACTTGGTCACGGGTTGGGACCCAATGCTTAATTCTAGTATTGATGAATACTGTGAGGGGGGAAGGTGAATGCCAAGCTAATTTTGAACATTAGGCCTCGTTTGGATTGTAGGAAAAGTGTAGGAATGGTACAGGAAACTCATTCCAGAGGAAATATCTTCTCTCTCATCGTTTGGAACAAGGGAAACCGTAGGAAATTTTCCAAAGGAACAGCAGCTGCACCTGTACTTTTGGAGGAATCAGAAAATGAGCTCCGAGCTCATTGGAAACTTTCCTACGGCTGTTCAATGCCTCTCGCTGCTTGTTAAGGGCCTGTTTAGATTCCAAAATTTTTTGCGTAGTATCCGTCACATCGAATCTTGCGGCACATGCATGGAGTACTAAATGTAGACGAAAAAAAAACTAATTGCACAGTTGGGTGAGAAATCGCGAGACGAAACTTTTGAACCTAATTAGTCCATAATTAGACACTAATTGCCAAATACAAACGAAAGTGCTACAGTAGCCAAAATCCAAAAAAAATTGGATCTAAACGGGGCCTAACTATTGATGAATAGACGAGCTGCATATGTACGGTGAATGGATAGAGAGACTTAAATGCATATGGTTTTTTTTACAACAATGCATACGGGGTTGGAGCCTTGGAGGCACATAGGTAACAGCTGCACGCTATTAAATGACACCAGTTAATTATAAAATACAATAAGTTGATCCACTATTACTAGAGATGCTGATATTAGTTTATCACTCTCATGTTTTTATTCCTATGTTATGGATTTCTGCGTTCCAAACACCTCTTTCTACTTCTTTCATGCGTTTTTCCAATCCTCTGTTTTCACACTCTATTCCTATCCCTTTCCTCTGTTTCCTACCATTCCTTTATTTTTGATTCCTCTGTTAAATTCGATTACTGATTGGGGAAAAGACAATATATTGTGAAATATCAGTGGCATTTACCTCTTTGATTATCATGAAAATAGCCCAATAATCTTTGACAATGTTCAGTTTTATCAATGGGCTGTTTGATTTTGAGTTCACTGTCACAAATCGCTAGCAGAAGGAATGTAGGATTAGATGAGGGAAGGGTGAGGGAGCTTAGGAGAGATGGAATTGTGGAAGGAAGCAGTGTGGATCATTAGGCAAGTAAAGAAGAAAGAGAGGTACATGAAAAGGGTAGGGACGAATAGAAATGTTTCAATGTAAAGGTGGTGAGCAGTTAGCTAGCTACAAATTACTAGTTCTGGAATCATTGAATCAAACTGCGCTTTAACCTTGTTTCTATGACCTGGACAAAGCCTGGCTATCAGTGAATTGCTTCAGTCTAGTATTTGGATATTCTTGTCATTCTGAATATGAGAGCAATTTTAAAGTTTATATTTCAGTAAAGCTAAGGAAAGAACTTTAAATATTGTGCAGGAAGGACATTGGCTTTATTGAACCAATTGTGTGCAGAAGCACTGTTCAGGGGCGGCATCTGATCTCTGATGATAATGGTAATACTCCTGCGCCTTTGTCTTGCATGCTAAGATGATTTTTCCAACAAATGCTGCACTATCTGACAACTATCTCTCACTGATAAAACACTACCCTTCGCAGGTTATGTATGCTCTGCACTTTCAATCAATCCATGGTCTCACTGCTGCCCAACAACAGGGGACCGCTTTTCCTGCCAGTGAGTTAACTATTTTCATTTTACCATATTATATGCAAAACTCCAACAAAACTGGTTACCCTGCAAAGCCTGACATAAGTCTTCGTGACATAATCCAGGGGCTGCAAACTTGATTTACAGTGCTGCAGTTCATATGAATATTGTGTTTCTTGCTGTTTGAATCCTTCTAAGGTAAATCCTAATAAGTTGTACCAGCTCTGGAAGACAAAAACGAATTGTTTCATAAATATTTTACTCGACCTTTTTGACAGATCAAGAAAGAAGATGTGCTGAAGCTGAAGGTAGCTAAGCCAGTTACTGCTGGTAAGATGCTTGAAGTTATTAATTGCTAAGGTGAATTTGGAATATGGCAAATGAAGTTTACCGTTAATTTTCTCCAGGAACATACACAAATGTTTTCGATTTCTGCATGGGAAGATGCCGCCATAGCTCTGCAAGTGTGGTACTGCCTTTCCTTCCCCCCTTAGAGTGCCAGTACAATAATTCTTCTACTTTATGGCATATCTTTTTTTTTTTTGAATCCATGGCATATCTTTCTTGTTTAAACTAAAACAGAGTTTTTTCAGTCTCGTGTCTTTTAACGTTAGTTGCAATAATTGCTTGTCCAAAGAAGTTCAAACTAACTAAGTTGCTCTTTCAATTTACCAGGTTCATGAAAATGCCTATGCCAGTGACTTCCATCACTGTTTTTCAGTGCACCAAAATTTATCAGGTATGACAAACTATGAACCATATTTCTTGGCTATATTACAACTTATCAGTTGTAACATGTTCTCAGGTCATTACTTGTAGACTGGAATTATCATGTTTTCAAATATTCACTGCTAGCAGCATTAGAATTACTAGAGATATGTAGCATATGCTATGGCCTGGAATTGTGGCTGGGGCACGCGATGGCATTTATGATTTATCTATTGACTTATTTGAGAATTTTGATAGCCAAAAGATATTGCCCTATTATCTTGTCTTGACTGAAATCTGGACAGAGTCAATGGTAGCAGCTCTACCTTCTGTCTATTCCTAATGCTTATGATGCATTTTTTTTTAATCGTCTGGTTGGAAATGATCATGGATGTAAACATTCTGCAGGATCAACTGAATCTAGTTCTGTATCAAAGTTGTTGGGCATTAACGTTGTAGTAGGAAGGTAAGGCCTTTCCACTTTAAGCACCTTATTTCTCTAAAGTGAATGTGCACCTAGGAACTGCTTTATGAAATCCCAAATGGAATTTAGGCCCGGGGAATCCTGCAGCTTGGTTTGCAAAGTAAGAGGACAATCATGTGTTCCAAGCAGGCTCTCTGTGCTGAACAAATGTGAGATGTAAGTCCAATTGTGTATCTTCAAATTACATCCATCTTTACAGTTCATTTGATTATCCTCAAATTACAAATGACATGCCACGCTATAGCAATTCTGTTTAGACGACCAGTCATGTAGCAAAGTTCCATCAGGGGTGAGCTTGAAGTAAATGTTCACTGAGAGATTACTTCGCAGAACCTAACTTATCAATTGAATAGCCAAGTAGATTGCATCTGGATGGGACCATCAGTAGTATAATGGAAGCTGTTACCTACAAACTTGATAAATGTCTTTTGCTATTTACATCTCTTTTTTTTCAATTTTCAACTGCTATCAATCTGTCAGCACCAACACACAATTTGCATTGATATCCTATTTTTTTTATGTCCTCGTGCATGGATTCTGCTGCAGGTGCATATGTTACTTGTCCTAGGTTTTGGCTATGCTATTGGGTGAGAGTAAGACAGATTTTTAGGTCTCTGGAAAAGGAACACCCCATATAGACTGAATTGGAATCTGGAGCAAAATGGGGAGGCAAGGGGTGTGCTGAGTGTAGCTCTGCCCTAACAATAGTTAGGCTGGGTGTATATTTATTGTTGAATATCATTTTTACTAGGGTCCACTTAAGCTTTATACCTGAAAGGGTAGGGTAAGACTAGAGAATTACACAAGATACTGTCCCAGAGGTGATGCCATCTGAATTCAACCTCATCACAAGCACATAACAATTTCGAATTCGGATCTTTGGCACATCAGTTGTGTTTGCTGTAGTCCCAACACCATGAAGTATTTTTTGGGTGCTCCATTGCATGGGTGTAGAATTTTCGGTTCCCTGACAGAATGTCTGAGTCTGAGTACATAGTCATTTTGGGTACCCGTGAGGTTTTCTTATCCTAGAAAAAACAACTAATTTCCATTTCCAGCTATCCTCCATTTGGATGTGATGTCACAATCAGCCAGCCCTATTGGAAATGTATAGATAATCATGCCAGAGCCAAGTTTGATATCAAGTCATCAACTATTATCAGTTACTTGTTTAAACAAAGAAAAGGTGAGGAAAATTTTACCCCCCTCAAAAAAATTGCTGGGAAGAGATGGGTTTCTTGTGCCTGTAGTCCACAAAGTGATGAATGCTAAGAAATCACCGCTGTGTTAGTATGGTTTGCCTGTTTTCTGTACAGTCTGTGTAGATTATTCCATAGTTGCTAGCATGAGATAATTCATATAGTTTATAAGACCCAAGCTGAAAACTGAAGGGTATATATACCATGCTCAAATGTAAAGCAAATGTAACTTCTATTAAACCTGCATGACAGCATGAGCGCTGTCAGTAATATTATTGCTATAAATTGTTGGGAAAATTGTTGTGGAGTGGACCTGATCTGGATCCTATGTACCCGTGATCATTTTGTTAGTAGGTCTTTCATGATAGGAATTTGTGCATGTTAATTAGTGTTCATGTTAGTTTGGGAGCTTGCTAGATCTAGATTTTGTTTTTGATGTGAAAATAGATTCATCATCAAATTCTCACTTGATGGCCAAAAAATTCGTCCATGTTAGATCATCATCTGAATTCCCAAGGAAACTTTCTTGAGATTGGATAATACAAACTGGAGCAATGTTTTTGTTTCTCTGTATGTGTTCTTCTGTTCATCCATCCATTCAGGATAACACTTACTTGAGCTGAATTATTCGAACCAGTTTGCAGAAATATATGAGATGCAAGACTGGCTGCTTTCCCAGCCTTGGACCAGATCAACCTGCTGAAGTTGTTGATGAAGCTCCAACCAGCTTGGTATGAATGATAATTTTACTTACTTTAAAATAAAACAATCTTGGAGTACTGTCTATCTCATTTTTCACATTTATCTGTTTGACCACATGCAGACTGTTATAGGTTTTATATCTAGAAAATGGATGTTTCCATACTCAGGTCATATTGGATGGATATCTTGTGTCTCTTCTGGTTATGTGGTTTATGAACTACTTGAAACTGACATTCACTGTGCTGCGCTTAGTCCAATTTCTGAAAATAGTCAACACTTGACCAACAAAATGTGCTTATCAGCTTATGGCTAGTAATTTAGGATTTTAGGAGGGATAAGGGGAGTGTGCAGTGGCCATGGGAAGCTGGCACACAGGCAGCACAAGGGATCTGGAGAGCTAAGAGGTGAAGGGGGTAGTCCTTTGCTTCTCCTTAATGAACTTGAGCCATGATATACCCCCTTCATTTTATATGTATAAAGATAACTTGGCCCTTAAGTCAACTATTGAGGGGGTCTTTTTGATACGATCCTACCTTCCTAAATTGCAATAGACATATTCTTAATTAAAGAGAGAACTTGGCTTCCAAACTATTTAACTTCACTACGTGATCCTTGCGACCTAAGCCCATCTGAAGAGTATCATTACATATACGTTTTGGGCCTGACAAAATCCATTGTTTGGCCAGCTATCCAAGCCACAATTGCTACTTTGTGCTTGTTTGTTTCTGTTCTCTCGAGAACCGAGCTGCATTTACGCAGCCGCGGTCGCTGATCATCGGTTCGCCCACCGCAGAAAATGAACTGTGCTCTGATCTCCTGCAGCGTGATTTTGCCCACCATCCGCCAAACTCCCTGTGGCAGGCCAACCGACAGTCGGATTTTAATCCGAAACAAACACGAATGATCCCACAAACCCATGGTTTTCTCTGCCTCATTGGATCAGCTTTGATTTTAACATACTTTAAATGATCAAATTTATTATCTTAGATATTATGATGTCTCTGCTATGGCACTAACAAATTTGAGACGGCTACTCAACTTTAGCTTTGATTTTAACATACTTTAAATGATCAAACTTATTATCTTAGATATTATGATGTCGCTGCTTTGGCACTAACAAAGTTGAGACAGCACCACAAATATCTAGCTGGTGTCATACCAAATGGGATTTGGATGCAAGATCTAGAACTTCACACACATGACAGTGGGTGGTGATCATTCCATAGGTCTGACCAGAAGAGAACAGTAGATCCATCCCCGAGTTTCCAAGACTTTTCTCTTTTGCCAAAAACAAGAAGATTTCTGTGTTACAGTTCCTTTAATAAAATCTCACAGTGGGGGCCTCCCCTGCTGTATTTTTCGCTAAAAAAACAGTGGGTGGTGATAAATGAGAGGATTCGGTGGATTGAGGAGAAATTTATCAGGCTACTTTTGGAAAAAAAAAAGAAGAAAAAAAAACTATAGCAGCAACACCAATCCTTAAAGCCACCTAAACTGTGTTCTCCTCTTTCTTCATCTTTTTGTTAGATACCTTTCGAAAGGAATCTTATGTTTTGTTGTCATTTATTGGTTTTTTCCCACAATCAAAGACTCAGAATATGTGCAAAATTAGATTCAAGAATTTAACTTTTATGCCTCATCTATTTTAATTTAAATAATGAAAACCGTATTTGTTGCTTATGGTATTGATGCATTGGTCCCCAGTTAAATGCCTGATTTAGCAACATTAGGAATTGCCAAAGTTAAGCTCAATGCTACACGAGGGATGCTGGTAGAGTCTATTGACTAGATTTTTTTCAGTTATATGTTTGTGCTTTCTACTTTGATGTTTTGCTAGTAAACATAAAATGGTCACATTTAAAATGTGGAAGTGGAACTGACTGCCTTTCTTCTGGTTTCTATTTCAGAATCCAGGAGCATGCTTATACATGCAGATGGATGAGCGGCTCACATGTGATGGTTCACATCAGCATACTCGAAGGCTCTGTCCATGCGCTTGAGAAGGGAAAGGGAATGTGACACTCATAAGACAGAAGAGGGGTAGTTTTCTCGGAAAAACTTTCTATCATGCTCTAGGCTCATTTAATTGCCTAGTGCCAAGATGTGGACAAAGTAGGTTTGCTCACGTCAGTCGTGTTCACTTGACAGGAAACAAGTGGAGGTGATAAGCTGAAAACCGATGGTTCTCCATCACTCCCATGATGAACAACCTTTTTATGTACTGGTTGTGGGTTGCCTCAAAAAGAACTCTGCTCCTATTTTTGGGAAGGATCATGGATGCAAAATGAAATGGAGTACCTGCAAAAAGATCTGCTCCTATTTTTGAGAAGCATCATGGATGCAGAGGAAATGGAGTACCTGGAAATCTTTGCTTGGTACTTGGTAGGATGTTGCATGCTGAATGAAAATGCATGCAACCGATTCAGCAGTGCGTTGGTCTATATAGATACCATCAGAATGTGTTAAGAGATTAGAGATGCATTGCATCCATGCTTTCCTCATAATTAATATTTGTGGCTGTCGTCAGCAGCCTATTTCTCCTTTTCTCAAGCATCATGTGCAGACCAAAAACCTGAACCAATTATATATTTGTAATATATTGCACAATCTTTCATGCATGTTTTAAGACAAAGTAGCCCAAACATAACTACAGATACATGATCTTTTAAATCAATTACACCATGCCAGCATCTCTGCATCACAAACTCCGATGCCTTTTTTGCCAGCCTCAATCAAAAGGAATAATTAGGCTTGAAATCTTTCATGAACTTTGGTCTCTCCCTCCCTTTGTTATCATCTTTGCTTTGACCAGTGGTGGCACTCTCCTCTGCTGCAGCTTCGTCTTCCTGGTTGTCCTCCTGGAAGGCCGGGTGGGTGAAGATGTTCCCCAGGAGCTGTGTGCCCCTGAGGGCATTGGTGAGCGGCAGGTGACCCTCAGGTGTGTCATCCTTCATCTCCCAGATGAACTCATCAGGGAAGGCCCTGTAGTTGTACTGCTCTACCTCTGTGTCCAGCTTCTTCATCCAGCCGACCCTGATGAAGAAGCGGGTGAAGTCGCGCTGCGATTTCTCCCAGAGCCGCCGCTGCACGCTGTAGCCGAACTTGCCATTGCTGTGCTCTTTCCAGAGCTCGTCAATGGCGCGAAGGTCCTCGGCGGAGATGAACTGGACCTCGGAGAAGAAGACGTACCCTCGGCGCCTCGCAGACTCGCCGGCAAGGTCGATGATGAGCGCCCGGGTGGTCTCGTCAGCCTGGCGGTAGTCCCCCGCCACGAGATGGCGGCCGAGGTGGTCGAGGGAGGGGGCTGGTGACGAGTCTTCTTCTGCTGCTGATGCTGCCGGGGCCACCGGAGTTGGAGCTGACGAGTTGGTGGTCGAGGTTGTGGTCACCGAGCGGGAGGTGTTGGGGTGGAGCCTGAAGGAAATGCTGCCTCCGGTGTTGGTGGAGAGCTTGAGCAGGGCAGAAGGGGAGCCGTCATGGCTGCCACCGGTGCTGGCGAAAGAATGGTGCTGCGGGAGAAGAAAGGATTGCAGAGAAGCATTTGCCATGGATGGCGGGAGGACGCAGCTGAGCTGAGAATGGAGAGGAGGGAGGGAGGGAGGGAAGGAGACGATGATAAAAGAGTGGATGGGGTTTAGTGAGAGCTGAGCTGGTGGTCGTGTGGTGTGGAGAATTGAGACCGTGTTGCCTTGTGTGTGTGTGTTCTTGTGACGGCCCACCTTTGTGCGTGTCTTGTGTCAAGGCCTCAAGGGTTGTGAGAGATTTTGGTGGTGGTTTTGTAGGGGGTACGTCTGGGAGAGAATACAAAGGTGGGCTGTGATTGGTGGGTTCTGGGTGAGGTGAGGATACTGGCTATGACAAACAACCCAACCAAAGTGAGGGTGAGGTGGGTACTCTGGGTCCATAGGACAGTTCTGGTATGTTGCGCTCCTTTTTTTCCCTGGAATCTGGAGAAGAAAACTTAACCTAAATTTCATATTCAGTTCTTTTAGCCAAGATTTTGGTTTTAATCCTTTTAATTTAAACAATAGATATAAGGTTCGATGTGTATATAATTTTTGCATGTATAAAAGGTGGTTAGTTTGCTAGTAGAAACTGAAGTTTACATATAGGTCATTTGCAACATGTAAAAACTCTTTTGGAATCTCGACATTCAAAATGACATGATCAGCGCCAGGAGTACGATAGTAAAAAGTTTTCCATAAAATTTCTACCCCCTATTCTAATTCTTCTATCTAGTTCTTCCTATATTGTTTGCGCTGAACCAGGTGTCATCTTTATAGGATTGTTCTGCGTTTTTTTTTATGAAGATGGGTGTGACGTTCAACTTGAATAATCGGTTGCCGTTTTTTTCTTCTTATTTACCAAGAAATCAACAGCCACAAAATGGAAGCTTTTTACAAAAATCATCTAAACTTTCGAAATAGTGGCATCCAATGCGGGAGTTGGGGAAGTTTCTGGGTGTACGGACCTGGTCTATGTAAGTTCTTGTTTAGTTCCACCCTAAAATTCCAGAAAGTGCTACAGTACTTGTCATATCGAATGTTTACGGGCTATGCATGGAGTATTAAATATAGACGAAAAAAAAACTAATTGCACAGTTTGGTGGGAAATTGCGAGACGAACGTTTTGAGCCTAATTAGTCCATGTTTAAACACTAATTACCAAATAAAAACGAACGTGCTACAGTAGCCCCAAATTCCAAATTCCTGAAACTAAACGAGGGCTAAATCTACTGCGCCTGCGCCTATCAAGGACATCAGACGCACTCGAGTCTGGACGGCAGAGCTTTGCTTGTCTGTTTATTTCGTAGGCCACGGATCCTATCTCGTTTAATCAGGTAAGGCGTGGGAATGCACTTTTAAACGGTAACTACAGTGGTTTCAAAAAAAATGGTAACTACGGTAAGAAAAGTCCAAATTTCTGCATAAATAAGGCTCTAAATTTTTTGTTTATTTTATGAATAAAGACACTAAAAAAATGCACCGTATCATATATTTATCATGGAAAATAATAGTCAGTACTAAAGAATAACAATTTGGCCAAAACCACATCTGAAAAATAAGTGTTCATTTAAGATCAAACTGATTGTTTTTCTTTCCGGTGTTCGACACCCACCGGAGCTCACCTACAGATACTCTCGTCATACAAGGTTTTAAAGACTGAAAAGCTACTCAACGCTAGTAATGAGATCTATTACCCACATAATGCAGGCTTACTTCACCATCAGAACATTGTGATGTAGGAACTAGACCTTGCACAGAACAAATTAAAAGAAGAGGTCAAAATCATTACATCAAAAGCCAACCAACTATTTCCCTTGATGAACATACAAGCTAAGATCATACAAAATCAACAGACCGGACATACTCTCACTGACCTGCACCGACATTGGAGAGATCTTATTTCAATGCCTCGTCGATGCCACCAACAAGATCCTACAAGAAACTACAACTACGAATGAGTAGGTCCCCACTGCTCTGTCCGCTAGCAAGGTCGCCAGGAGGGACAGAGGAGAGGGACCAAGGTGGCAGTGGGGAGGAGGCCCTAGGAGGGGTTGTAGCTTTTAGGGGAAAAGCTTTGGTGTGTGGCTCTAAACTAATTTTAGTTCAACTTACTCCCTCCAACTATACCAGTTGGTCAAATCCATCCCTAAATAAGATTGCTTTTTGGTTTGGAAAAAAATTTAATTACTCCTCAAGTTTGCCATGTGTACAAATAACCCAAAACTATTTTTTGTTCAATTTACTCCCTAAATTATTTTAGTTGGTCCAATCCACCACTTAATAAGATTTTTTTCTCCACATAAAACTGAGTATTAAGTTAAAAAAATTGGGTGGTAGCAGACATCATAATTATGTTAAATAATCACATTGTGAATTTTTTATCAAGGACAAATTTGATGTCAAGTTAGAGTACCTAATAAGTTGTAACCATGTACTCACTCTATACCAAAATATAAGGCGTGCAAGTATTTTAAAATTCAAACTAGTCATATGAAAAGTCATACTACAAAGTTTGGTTACATTGGATTTGTATTTAGAAATAGTAGTAATTAATAACGATCATGTTTTTCCATAAAAGATATAATACATGATAAACTAACAGTCAAAGTCATCGTTGAAGACCGCACTAAGGCAAACCGCACATATCTATCATCACCTCTCAGCCAAGCTAATAAGATACAGGCAACCAAACAGTAAGCCATTGCATGCGCCTAGCCTAGCTCAATAGAGCTTGATTGAGCTGATATAAACTAGGCTAGGACATAAAAACAACCAATCAGGCCCTAAGAGTCTTGTACCGGCATAGCCAGAACTACTTACTGGAATCATTGGAATAGCCGGTATTTTGGTCGATATTACATTCTGTTTTGTCTGGTAGAACAAAGATATAATTGTCATCCCCGCCAGTACCAAAATGGGATTGATAATCCTGATTAGAACTATGTATATGCATATGCAAGAACATAGCCACGCACAAAGAATTGGGCCGAGAATTGGGATGAGGGAGATCTCATAGTGCTATGCATTAGCTCTAATAGTTTGTTACTAAAACTATATCTAATGGATTCAAACAGGACTTCTAATAGCCCAGCTAATGGTTGTCTCATCAGATGTCTAAATCCAGATAATAGCTAATAGATGGGCAAAAACTATTTTGCCATTCCACGATAAAAGGGCATTATGAACAATCCACCAATACAATCACCTATTAACTATATATTTGGATCCGAACATCCCTTAGCTAATAGTTAGCCAGCTCTTTTGTCAGTAGTACTTGAGTTAATAGATCCGAACTCGACTATGTTCAACGATAAAAGGCAACTGCTAGTTCTTATACATTCATGTTGTGGGTTGCCCACGTGTAACCTGCATCATATACAGTTTTTAAAGGGGAAACATTTTTTTTTACAAAAGAAAAATGCCATATACAGTAACAAAATAGACATTATTGAGTTAGTAGAGCTAGCATTATGACATTTGCAACACCGCTCTTGTCCCAGGCGAAGGCCAATACTGATCGCAAGGGATTAAGGCCCTGTTTGATTTCTACAGGCGCTCCTAAAATTTCTGTCAAATCGAATATTTAGATAGGGTATTAAATATAGACTAATTATGAAACTAATTACACAGCTTGCGACTAATTTGCGAGACAAATCTTTTAAGCCTAATTAGTCCATATTTGACAACGTGGTGCTACAATAAACATGTGCTAATGATAGATTAATTAGGATTAAAAAATCGTCTCGTAAATTAGCATCCATCCATGTAATTGGTTTTGTAATTAATCTATATTTAATGCTCTTTATTAATATCTAAACATTCGATGTGACATGAATTTTAGGAGCCACTAGAGAACCAAACAACCTCTAAATATGAAAAGATGAAAGCCTGAGACATTATTGATGGTATCTTTTCTGTCCCAGGAGTAAATAAATTCATTCAGTACGTACGGTCTTACAAAGATGACTTCTGAAAGAAGCATTGGCATCAGACATCAGACATAATGGCAATATTGTTAGGTCCAAGCAACATTAATTGGTTAGCAACAACCTGTCTTCCATTGTGTTGAAAACAGCATCCTAAAGAGGTCATGGAACATGAAAGTAGCCATTGCTGAGGTAGACCTCTGAGAATCACTTCTACCTGTCTCTGAAGAGAAGAATGGGCAGCCAACCTGTTACTGCGAATCACAAATCAAGCAACAGAAGAAACCTTCCACAGGAACATAAGTGAAAGAATGTTGAATATGGTGACACAGACATGCAGTTGGTTCCCAAAGCTATTGCCATTTAGCATGCAGAAACAGCATCGCGAACCAAAGAGATGATCTGAAGGATTAAGGAAACTACACAGTTTTGCAAGCTAAGGATACAAGATCATCCATCAACTGCAGCCATCAGAAGATAAATTGTACCAGGAAAAGAAAGGGACCATATGAATCTACAAAGAAATGCTTCTGGATGCTAAAAAAATTCTTCCAGTATTAATTAGCTCTCTCTCTGTTTTTAGACGGCCTGCTAGATAGGACGTATAAACACTGTAATGCATTTGGATTTAGCAACAGGGCATGAAGTCCGAACTTAAAATGCTGCTCAGCAATGAGTCACTGCTCTGGTTTCTGCATCTCCTGAAATTTCCTCAGAAGTTGTGCTGCAAGTACAGGTTTTCTTGTGGTGAAGCCGGAGCGATTTCTTCCTCCAGTCACCGCAGTCCATCACCTATGCTGCTCCCGACATTCCTACCATCTGTGGTCCTTCGGCCAACGATGTCAGCTTCGGATGCAGATGATTTCCTCCTCTGTGATGAGGTCACGCTAGGAAAAGTTATCCAGGAAGGTGCCCTGTACTCAATCCGCTGGTCCTCCCCGTCAGCAAGCCCGTTCTCTGAGCAAGAGTGGTTAGAGGACATCTGTGATACCTTGTGCATGCGGCTGCTTCCAAGAACAACCTCAGTCAGCAGAATGGGCTGCTCAATGCAGGGACTGCCCATCAGCAGTGCAAGGGCATGCTCTAGAGCTGTTGTCACCTTATCCATGGAAGGCCGGTCTTTCCCCCGCATTCTGACACACTTACATGCCACAGAAGCAATCTTCTTGAGGGCCTCAAGGTCTGAGGGAGGTGATAAGGCTGGATCAAGGATGGCAAAAATTGTTGTCGTCGTCTCGCCGGCGTCCTTCGCCGGAGCCGAGAACGACGCCCTGCGCAGAAATCAAACGCACACACGCACACAACGCGAACAGAGGAACACGGTGTTTTTGGTGCCGCCTAGAACTACTGCAGCTTTTCTGTCTGTATTGCAACTTAAGTAGACAAAATACAATGCTACAATGTAGGCACGAACGGCCACGACGCTGCGACCTCCACGCTCCGCCATTGCCGCGCCATCCCACGACTGGAGTATACAGGTCGCCACTACTTCTACCACGCGCACGCCACGACCTCCGACTGGTCCGTGCCATCCCACAGACGAGAACGCAATGCGCGCGGATGACCACTAGAGCTAGAAACAAGGAGAGCCTCTGCATGAACGCAGCATGCATCAGGCTGTACATAACACATTCGGCTTGGCTAAGACCGAGTTCAGTTATTGTCTAACAGCCGGAGAGAAACTAGGAGCTGAAGTGAGCCTGGATTATCTAACAAAAATGTCCCCTGCTTTAATCAGTGGTACTGCCCATTCAACAATGTTCCCTTCCTCGAACTGCATGTCGATCGCTTTTCTGCCACTTAGTATCTCTAGGAGAACAACCCCAAAGCTGTAGACATCAGATTTTGTAGTCAAGTAATGGAGACGGTAGTACTCAGGATCAAGGTAGCCAAGAGTCCCTGCTGGCAGCTCGGACAGTGGGGTACTGCTATCTGCAGGACCCAATATAGATAGACCAAAGTCAGCAACACGCGCATTGTGATCCTCATCAATCAATATGTTTGACGACTTGATGTCCCGATGAATTACAGGAGGGCAAGCATAGCCATGCAAGTACTCAATTCCCCTAGCAGCCTGGACAGCAATGGTGACCCGCCTTGCCCAGTTCAGTCGCTTTTTCAAGTTTGGATCCTTGCCATGCAGATGCTGGTACAGGGATCCATGAGCCATGAACTCATAAACCAAGAGCCTCTCACTGCCATCCTCGCAGTAACCAAGCAGGTTCAGCAAATGTGCATGGTTGAGCCTGGATAGGAGGTCAAGTTCATTGTGAAACTCCTTTGAGCTCTTCTTCACATCTGATGCTTTTATTGCACGCTTCACAGCAACCACCGTCCCATCTCTCAGTATGCCCTTGAATACACATGAAAAGCTGCCTTTGCCAACTTGTGAATCCTCTGAGAAGCCGCCAGTTGCCTGCTCGAACTCTTCATAGGAGAATTCCTGAGCTCTCCTGATCTTCAAATCCTCCACATCAGGCTGGATCCTCATGTTATCCTTCCGGAAAGAGTACGCTGTGCTCTTAGCCAGTCTCAGCTCCCTATTTGAACATTGGCAATGTCGAAGCTTGTGCCGGACATACAGGCAAGAGATTACTGACACGCTGAGTACCAAGATGACGGCAAACACAATCTCTGCTACAAAGATGCGCATCTGAAAAGCCATCAACTTGCGGCTCTTGGTCTGCTTCTGTGATAAGCAGAATGACAGGCACTCATCTGTGGCACACCTCGAGCAGTCAAACTGGCAAACACGGTCAGCTTTTGCATTGCAAGGAGATGACTCATACGAGTCTTCTGGGCAACCTGTACTACAGGGCAAGCAGAGTCTAGAGTTAGCAGGCTTACACACCTTGATGCTGCCAACCTCACCATGGTTCACATAATAGTACCCTTGGCTGCATGCGGTAGGTACACAAATCCCAGGAGGTACGGCCATCGGTAATGCCAATGGCCCACTGTTGCCTGGCATCAGCGAAGTCTCGGCAGGCACTCCACAAGTAAAGTAGTCCCCAGCCACAAGCGCATACATCTTCATCCCCTTCGGTGGTGATGTGCTGTTATGAAGAGTGAAGCCCCAGCAAGCCACCTGGTGGTCAAGGCTCCTGATGCCACAAGCATGGAAGCGACCATCGCATCCATCGGCACTATGTTCACATCACCATCGCCGATAGCACTGGATGGTGCCACCTGCTGCATTTCCAAGCTCCTGCCCCAGCAGAACACCTGTGCATTCTCCAACACCCCACAGACAAGGTAACCACCTGCGCCTATAGACTGGAAGCGCACATCCCTCGGCGCTGGCCCAACGACTGAACGACACCACTCACCGCCTCGTCGCCCCAGCAGAACACCGTCCTGTTCCGAGCAAACAAGCCGCAATTGAACACCGAACCGGCTGAAACTGCCGACACAGCTTCATCGACGACATGTGTGGCAGTCATATTGTATCCCCAGCAGTCGATCAACGACGATGTAGCAGCAGCGCTCGCACCACGGCCCCCATCTTCAGCCGCAGCTCGCAGCGCGCAGAGGTGGCTGTCCCCCGCGCTGAGCTCAGAGTACCCCTCGCGCCCTCGACCATCGGCTGCGGCACCCCGCTCTTGACATAGGAGTTGCTCCCCCAGCAATACAGCTGCCTGGTGTCGAGCAGGAGGCCGCACACGAACCCGTCCCCCGCCGTGAGGCCAAGGAAAGGGATGTTGGGCGGGTCGCCAGCAACGAGGTGGGAGCCGTCGGAGTTGAGGCCACAGAACACCGGGCCGTCCTCCCCATAGGATACCGCAATGGACGACATGGAGCCAAGGGCACTGGCCCAGCCAGGCAGCAAGGCCATGAGGCACACGGCAAGAACTCGAGCCGGCACATGGTCCATGTCTTGAAACCTGGGGCTGCCGGCCACGGCCACGGGGGCTAATGCCGAGAAGATTCCTGCATGTATTTTTAGCTTTTCTTAGCACCAACAGGCATCGGATTATACTAAAAACTAAAAAAAACTGCCTCAGAACCAACAGGAATCAGGTGAGTCTGAGTCTTATTATAGGTAAAAAAAAACAAGAGTAAAAAAGGGTGAACCTTTATGCTGCGAGCATGCCAGTAAGCACGAAACGAGGGGGTTGGCGGGCGGGCGGAGTCAGTCAGTCAGTCATGTTAGAACAGTAGGATTGGTACTTCTGTGTAACCGTAGATCCGCCCTGGACAATAGCGTCGTGACTTCGCGGACACCGGTGTCGAGGCAGCTCCGGCTCGGTGGCAAGGTACAGTGGTGGTCCAGAGGGGCCGGTGTAGACCTGCAGGGGCGACGGTGGTGGTAGGGCACATCCTGTCGCTGGCAGCACGGTCTTTAGATCGGTTTAGGGTTACTGTAGGTGGGAGTGGCGGCTCACGGCGAACCTCGTAGTCCGAGCCCTCACCCCCACCTTTCTTTTATGTGTGCTGTGCGACAGGGGCCCACCAACCAGATTAGGGTTGGGCTCCTCCGATCAGGGAGCGGAGATAAGGGCCCAATAGACCGTTGGGTCTATTGGTGGAGATCAACTAACATTCTCCCCCTCGATCTCATTCAATCTTTCACTTTCATATCATTTCCTTTTATTCATTCCATTACAGATTAGCTCATAGAGCATGTCTCATCGTCATGGTCCATTGCCGATAGACTTAACAGCTACAACTCACTACTCTGTTCTGAAATAGATACTTATCTTTGGGCCTTCTTTTGTCCAGGAATATTTTAGGCTTTCCCTTAAACCCCAAGCTAGCTACATGTTCTCTGAACACCATGTCCTCTGAACATGTTGGGTGGTAAGCCTTTTGTAAGCGGATCCGCGAGCATCCTTTCTGTTCTTATATGCTCAAGACTTATGACTTGATCCCGGACTTTATCTTTCACAACATAATACTCTATGTCGATGTGTTTGGCAGCACCACTTGACTTATGTTGTGAGCATCTTTTACTGCCAGATTATAATCGCGGTATAACTTTAGTGCTCTATAGATGTCGTCAACCACCTTCAAACCGGGTATGAACTTCGTTAGTTAGTTCACCTGCCCGTTGCCTCATAACACGCTACAAACTATCATACATTGTGGACGATGTAGTGACAGTTTGCTTTGAGCTTTTCCTTAAAATAGCTTCCCTTTGCGAGATGATAGAAAATCCACGTCTGGATATGCATTCACTCTCGCATAATCAGAATCTGAATATCCCACCATGTAGAGTGAATCAAATCTTCTATATGTCATCATGAGGCCTTTCGTTCCTTGCAAATAATGCAAGACTTTCTTTACTTATTTCAGTGTTCTATTCCAGAATTGCTCTAAAATCTGCCAAGTAAAACCCGGTAACAAATGCCAAGTCAGGGCGCGTACATACTTGAGCATGTTGCAAGCTTCCGACAGCTGAAGCATATGGAACCACTTTTACTTTATCGATTGAGCTCATATTGGTTACTAGGGCATTTAAAATCCACATATCTGTTGCCCTTGACTATAGGAGCAGGTGAGGGACTATATTTGTGCATACTGAATTCCTTTAAGATCTTTTCCATGTATGCCTTTTGTGACAGTCATTATACCCTTTTCTTCTATCTCGGTGAATCTCGATCCCTAGAACGAACGAGGCTTCGTCAAGATCTTTCATATCAAGTTTTGAGGACAAAACTTCTTTGTCTCCTATAGTAGACTGACATCACTACTAGCAAGTAAGATATCATCTACATACAGGACAAGGAAGATAAATTTCCTATTCTTGAACTTTGCATAGACACAATTGTCCTCTACATTCTCTTTTAAAACCCAAAATTCTTTATTGACTGATCAAACTTCAAGTCCCACTGTCTTGATGCTTGCTTTAATCCATAAATGGATTTCTTTAGGCGGCATCTCATTCGTTCTTTTCCTTCAATGACAAAAACTTTCGGTTGTGCCATGTAAACATTTTCCTCCAAGTCTCTGTTGAGAAATGCCGTCTTTACATCCATATGATGTAATTCTTAATCGTAATGTGCCACTAATGCCATTATGATTATGAAAGAAACTTTACATGAGACTGGAGAAAATATCTCATTGTAATCAATCCCTTCTCTTTGCATAAAGACTTTTGCCACAAGTCACGCTTTATATGTCTCTATATTCCCTTGAGAGTCAAGTTTTGTTTTATAGACCCATTTACAGCCTACTGTTTTGGCTCTTTTAGGAATTATTTCCAGGTCCCAAACTATATTGGCATTCATTGATTTTATTTCATCTTCCATGGCCTCAAGCCACTTTGGCTTATTTAAATGAGGTGGGATCCTCCTCCATTTGAAATTCTTTAGTGTTGTACACTTCATAATCAGCACGAATAGCTGATTTTCTAACTCTTTGAGACCTACTAGGGGCCTTCACATTTGGCACATCTTCTATTTGAGGCTGTTGTTGCTCCCCCTCATGTGTGGCAATAGGTGCAGCGACAGCAGGTAGTGCGAAAATTGGCTTATGAATCATTGGAGTGGGTGCATACACCCACTTCACTTCAAGGTCAATTTCTCGAGCTACCATGCTCTCCCTCATCAATTCATCCTCTAGGAAGACAGCATGTCTCGTTTCCACTAACTTTGTATGTCTCTCTGGACAGTAGAAAACGAAAACCTTTTGACTTTTCTGGGTAGCCAAAGAAATGGCACCTTACTGTTTTGGGATCTAACTTTCCAATGTTTTGGTTAAATACTTTAGCCTCAACATGGCTCCCCCTCACACACGCAAGTGGTTTAGTGAGGGTACTCTTTATGTCCACAACTCATACGATGTTTTGGGTACCGACTTTCTTGATACTCTATTGAGAATATGAATGGCGGTTTTTAACGCCTCCATCCATAGGCTTAACTGTAAGGTGGAGTAACTTATCATACCGCCCACCATATCCATCAGGGTGCGATTGATTCTTTTAGCTACTCTATTCTGCTGAGGTTCGCCCGGTGTAGAATACTAGGCTACTATGTCATTCTTTTAGAGTATGCTGACCGTAGTACTCCTCCACGGTCAGACCTGACTATCTTAATCTTTAATATCTTAAATTTATCCAATACATCTTTTCTTTCTTTGATTGGATAAATATAGCCATAATGGGAGTAATCATCTGTGAATGTTATGAACGAATCATAACCATCCACACTCTTTACAGGAAAGCCAACCACAGATATCAGTGTGGATAATCTGTAAAATTCCTGTGCTTCGTTTGTCATCTTTCTTTACATACTTTCCTTTTATGCATTCTCTGCATTGTTCTTAGTCTGAGAGCTCTAATGGAGAAAGAATATCATTCTTAACTAGTCTTTCTATTCTCTCCCTCGAAATATGGCCTGAACGATAGTGCCATGATTTCGACGACGCATTGTGAGCTCTCTTATGCCACCATTACAGAGTGACTATCTGTCACCAGCTGCTTTATCAGCTGGATAGCGCATGTCTTTGAAGAGCCAGTGAACTGACTCTTTATTCTATCGAGGTACTCGGTGACCGTGTCACACTCTGAGATTGAGCCCACAATTGCAAGCTAAATCATGTTCTTTATCATAGCCAAACTTTTTCTTGTTGTTAGTGATTCATTTCCTATACCCAAGGAGTCATAGGATATCTTTTGAGATTCAAAATTCCTCTCTTTAGTTGCCCAAGTGGCATCATTCTCTTTTGTCTCCCTCACCGGTGCCACAATCTCAGTGGAACACAATGAGATGACTACGCAGTCCACCTTAGACAAGATGAAAACCAGGTCAAAACTTTTCTTAACATAAAATTAACACCATTTGCATGCCTTGATTCCAACGTTGGTCAAAATTAAAACATACAACTATTCTTATACACTAATTCTATATCACCGTTGGGCAGAAATAGAATTAATGCATAAATCATTAACTTTTACAACTGTTCTCATACACTAATTCTATATCACCGTTGGACAGAAGTAGAATTAATGCAGAAATCATTAAAATTATCAACTTTTCTTATACACTAATTCTACATCACCGTTGGGCAGAAGTAGAATTAATGCATAAATCATTAAAATTACGATATTGTTATTAACAACGTTGGTCAGAAAATAACAATATCATAATCATGTCAAATCTCTTTTTCTCCAATTAAATACCACATTGGTTCAAAATAATTGGAGAATCAACATTTCTTTAGCAGCGGAAAAAATCTCTTTTTCTCCAATTAAATACCACGTTGGTACAAATTAACTGGAGAATAAACAATTTCTCTAGCCGTGGAAAAACTTCTCCTTTTCTTGAATTTTACCCACAGGGAAAAAATGTATTTTCTATTTCCTTTAATCTATTAATCAATTTCCAGGAAATAAATATTTACTGAAAAAACTTTTCTTTTCTCCAGTTAAATATCACGTCTGTTCAAAATCACTAGAGAATGTACTTTTTCTTTAGCAGCGGAAAACGTATACTCAATTTTTTGAATTTTACCCACATGTAAAATACCTTTTTCTATTTTTTTTCTTTTGAGCCAATTTGCATTTTCAATTTTCTAGGAAGTAAAACTTTTCTGAAAATAAAAATGAAAAAGACTCCTTCGTTTTGGGCTCAAAACCCGGCAATGATTCGCCCAAATTTTACTCTCGGCCGGCCCAAAATCGGCTTTCACGGCTCGGCCACTTTCATGTGCCAGCTATTGAACTTTGGGCTGGGCTGGGCAAAGTCAAGTCGCATTATCACACACCTTCTTTGGTCTGAAGTCGGCCCGGCATCCGTCATCTGGCGCCGTTGGATCTGATCGGATCTGATCGGACGGCCGAGCGTTCATTTCGGATGAATAAAAACTCGCCGACGGCCGCGTCCTCCCGAACCCTAGTTTCATTCTTTCCGTCTGCTTCTCTCTCTTCTTTGC